TTAATTAGCGGGCGAGTTGTCGAGAGTCACTGCGCCGAGAAACCATTAGATTTTTCATAGCTCCGCGACTTTCGTCGCAGTTTATATTTTTTCATTACAGAGATTAAAAAATGAAATGCAAGTTGAAGGATGGGGAATTTAATTCTCCATCGAACAGCATTGGTTTCATTCCTTAATGTTAATTAGGAGCAGAGATATGATTTTTTAATTAGCGGGCGAGTTGTCGGGAGTCACTGCGCCGAGAAACCATTAGGTTTTTCATAGCGCCGCGACTTTCGTCGCAGTTTTTATTTTTTCATTACAGAGATTAAGGAATAAACCGGAGGTTGAAGGATGGGGAATTGAATTTTCCATCGAACAGTATTGGTTTCATTCCTTAATGTTAATTAGGAGGGGAGAGACGATTTTTTAATTAGCGGGCGAATTAATGGGGAGTCACTCTGCGCCGAGAAAACATTGAGTTTCTTATAGCGCCGTGACTTTCGTCGCAATATTAATTTTTTTATTGCGGAGATTAAGGCATGAAACGGGGTTGATGGATGGGGAATTTAATTGTCCATTGAACAGTCTTTGCTTCATCCATTAATATTAATTAGTCGGCGAATAAATCAACTGAAAAACATAAAATAAACATTGAGTATTAGGAGGAGAAAAATCCCCCTCGGACCCTGTCCCTGTGACAGCGAGACTGTTCGAGATTTTGACAATGAGAAAAGGAGCACATTACTCTAAGAAAACAGGTCTCATGTTTTACGCTATGAACGATTTTCTGACACGATTTTTCTAGGCTCTGATCAGAGGATCGGAAAATACATCCGCACAATTGAAAAACATGGATATATGTATGATGGATTTATTTTACACCAGAAGTTTACAAAGTGTAATTTTTCACATTTTTCAAACTACAATGTTTGATCTGTCACTTGGGTAAGACGAAACTCACGGGGTTACACGTTCGACTCTATAAATCTTCGTTTGCATATTCCGTACTTATTTTTATGTTATTAAAAAAATACATTTTACAACATGTCCAGCCACTTTAATTTACTTATGACCCTCCAGAACTCACAATCAGCTGAGCCATAAAAAATGGCTACCAACGAGAATGCATCCCCTCCGCTTCGAACCCCCTCCTAAGCCTTCTATGATGCTGATTAGGTTTTTCTTATTTTACGCCAATTTATCGAATGGATAGACTTTGATTCAGTGTATATCAATGTCTATCAAATCATTCCGCGTAAAATGAGCCCAAGTAGAAGTTTCTATCAAAAATTAAAAAAAAAGAGGGGCTATCTTTTATGACAATTTTTTGAAAATTCATTTCAAAAAAATTTCAGTCTATCAAATTATTCCTATAGTCAATCATTGTCTATCATTCGCCTATCAATGGATTCCCATGGTCAAAATAATTAATTTTTAATAATCAGGGGCTAACTTTTTAGAGCTGGCGTTAGTAGATGCAGAATCAACGTTCACTCTGCGGAGAAATTCGATTTTGCCGAGAGTCGACTTTCCCAGCGGCAGAAACCAAGATCTGAGCCCTCGGCCTCGGCTGAAAATTTAATTTATTCATTTGGGCATATCTGGCCCCTCCGAGTGTTTCATTGGCTTTGAAATCATTAGAAAATACGGAATCAACGTNCAGAAACCAAGATCTGAGCCCTTGGCCTCGGCTGAAAATTTAATTTATTCATTTGGGCATATCTGGCCCCTCCGAGTGTTTCATTGGCTTTGAAATCATTAGAAAATACGGAATCAACGTTCGCTTCGCGAAAAAATTCGATTTTGGTGGAGGTCAACTCTCCTCCGGAAAAAATGGAAGATGTGAGCCTTTGGTCCCGGGTGAAAAAAAAAAACATTCATATATGAGTCACTCAGTCAGTGAAGCCTCGTTTCATGCCCGGTGCGCATGGGAGAATCTGAACAGTAAAACGCTGCCTTACGTTGAATGAATTGAATTCTCGATTGACACGCGTTGGTTTCATGTCTTCATCTCAATTAGGGGGAGAGAAAAAATTTTTTACCCGGGACCGAGTGGTCATATCTTGGATTTTGCCGCTGAGAAAGTCTACCCGTGCGGAATTACGTCAATTATTATTTAATCAACGCATGCAAACGGTGGAATGAGGGTGGCTAGAATAGATTCTGCAATCCCCTCCCCGTGTTGGATTAAAATTTTCACCTTCCGCGTACATGCCTTCCCCCGCCGCCCCCTCGTATAATCACTTTTTTCGGAATTTTGCTTGCAAAATTCAACCATTTTTAAACAATTTAATCAATGCATGCGAACAGCGGGATGAAGGTGGCTAAAATAGATTCTGCAATCCCCTCCCGTTGTAGGGCGATAATTTCACCCCTTCGCATACATTATCACCCTCCACCCAAAATGCCGGTCGAAATAGGCGTGCGCGGAGGAATATGACTCAAGGCTGAAGCGCTTGCGCGAGTAAGAGTGAGGTCGGTTGG